ATCTTGCTTTAAAGTTCAAGGATGTTTTTGTTTGGCTCTTATAATGTTCCTCAGAGAAAAACGTTGTCACAACTGAAGATGTAGTGCAATTAGTATTGGCTGCTCTCCTTTATCTAGGATCTGTTTAAATAATTACTGATGAATGATCATAATTTGGACAGAAGTTGGACTGTTTGCTTATCCACGCAGCTCATGAGTTTAAAACAAAAGGGACCTAACAATGTAAGCTGTCAGGCTTTAGACTTGGTAAATGTGTTCAGAATATTTCATCACAACTAACAAAGGGTTTAGCCATCTGATTTGGAAGGTCCCATGCTGCAGGTAGAAAAGTGCTATTTTCATTTTCAACACAAACTTGGTGTTTTGGTGGGGATTCATCATGAGCCCTTATCGGAGAATAAGCGCAATTACAGTGTCAAATGTGCAATTCAATTACGGGAAATAAAAAGTGTCCGATTGTTACAGGTATACACAAAAGTCTGCAGCCTGTATGAGGGTCGGTTGATTCCCTTATTTCAGGGTTAGGTATAGGTTCCATTTGTTGTGCATTTTTTGTGTGATGCGCACAGGAAATCCAATTGTTACCTTGCATAAATCTTCGAAGTCCTTATTCGAAGTCCTTCGGGCTCCTGTAAAATAACGTGTAACTGTGATGTGCACATCAGATGGGTTGACCATCATAATTACTTTCGCCAAGGAGGTTCTATTGGGTTGTTTTGTAGTTGTCTGTTTGTCAGCAAGAAAAACTACTGGCATGATGTTCATAAGATGTGGTGGAAGGGTGTACCATGTGCAAGAAAGACCCTGTCAGAAATATCAGAATATCAGACTGTCACTGCAGCATTAGCCATTCTCTTCTTTCCATCAGCTCTGACTAAGCCATAACTGTGTTGTTGTTGTTGTTGTTGTTGTTGTTGTTGTTGTTGTTGTTGTTGTTGTGTGATGGGAAACAATTGAAGCAGATTTAATGGGGATAAACAATCCACAAACATGTGAGGATAGTTAACAGGATCCTTCTTGGAAACTGTGAGTTTATGCAACCGTGCGAGGCTTAATCAGATTATCGGTTTGATCCTAGTTTTGGCAGTAAAATGTTATTGTTTATGTATGTAGACTGACCAAAATCAAATTAAATGCAGAGCTAAAAAGTACTTACAGCACTTAAAATACAGCCAACATACTAAACCAACTATTTTCTATAGACCAAATGTAAATTATAACCATATTTATGTGTCTTGTGGTTGTTGTGTTTTTCAGAAAATAAAGGGACTCTGCTTTCAATAATCATGCAAAAGTTAACTTAATTACAAGATTTTAAGTACATTATTATGTAAACCCTACCATTTGTAAATAATTATCCTCTCAGGAAATGCAGCTTTAATGTTCTGCTTCTAACTATGTATCATTCATTATGATTCAAGCCTCATTTCTAAATTAGTTGCGGGTTTGTTTCTTCAGCTTCCGTCGGGTGAAAAAGACCTCTAGTATGTTTGTTTAGCTCAAAACAGATTCCTGAAAGGCATAGCACCATGTCTAATAAAAAAGCAAAGGTCAGCACATGTTTAAATCATTTTTGGTGAATTGTACTTACAGCATAATTAACAGACTGACAAATCTACATTTTGATGCCTCATGTTTTACTAAATCTGCTTATACTGTCGTTTTAGTTTAATATTGGCTTCACAGCTGTCTAAGCCCAGAGACTGTATGTATGGGACCTGTCTCCACTGCTTGTAGTTGGTCATAGGAGCACATTATAAGTGTGGTAGGCAATATGGAGCTGTGACTGACGTTAGTAAGCTAAGAGGACTCCTGGGGACGGTTTAAGAGCAAGACAGATGGACTGAAACAAAAGAGCAACAGAATGACCGGAATGTAATAGTCAATATTAACCAGGGTTTGGAAGAGAGCGCAAAGAGTAGCAAAGTAAAGAAGAGGTAATAGAGCAAAGCAGAGAGACAGGAGACAAGATATATGCAGCTGTGCAGTAGAGTGACATTTGAGAGTGTTGCCAACTGGAGGAACTTGTCATAGCCCCACCTGTCTTTATCCATACAAAAACAACTGGGCTACCAAGAACAGATTAGATATCACTGAAGCTACATCCTGCATTAAAGACATAAGAAGGGACAAGTTGTCCCAAAGCTTTAGCAGCTTATTCCTACATTTACTCAACTGGAGGTCTTATGGATACAGTCCATGCAGAGTTACAGTGAGCACATGTAAGCGGAGATAGTGGAGGTACCTACTTTGGAAAGTATTGAGTGCACATGGTCAAATCACACGACAGTGATCAGGTGCGGCCTGTTGGCTTGACAAAATACTGGAGGACCATTACAGTAAGTGATGGCTCTCTATTATTTGCTTTTATCGTGTCTATTAAGGGTCAGTTTTTTTTCATCAAATAAAGATATTAAAATAATTCAATTTACAACATGAATAGACATTTTCATTTATTCCCTCAATCACTCACTCTATTCACAACTCACTTATTCACTTCCTAACTCACAGCTGGTGCCATTTGTGATTTATCAATTAATTGTTTTATTAAATTAAAAAATAAAGACTTGACTGACAATTTACAGTCAGTCTAAAGACAAAACAGGGACTAGAAATAACTAAATAGTGAACAGTGATTTGAAAGTAAAATGATCAAGTAATAAATAAGAAACACATATAGTATATTAATATTTGTATGTGATTCACAGATGCATTTACACACACATTTTTTTCCTTACTTTTAAATGAAATATACCTTTGTTTAAAATGATGAATACAAAAAGGTGTTCTCAATATGAGCATTATTCATACTCTTTCAAATGCAAGTACACTGAAAATACTCAACGTTGACTTTAATTAAATGTATTATGTCAGCACAGTTCACATAACTTTATTAGGTTAGTTGAAAGCAATAATATTAAAAAACTTAACAGTCATGTGAAATCTGTTGACATTCAGATTTTTAAGTGTACAGATGTACAGTATGAAAATCCGACAAATAACGGCTCTCATGAATGTTTCCTCGACTTGTCACTACAAATAAGGACTTGGAGAAAACCTGTTTGTTGAGTGTGTGTTATCTCTTACTTTGATATCATCTAGCTCTGGATCCAATAAAAGTAATATATCTACTATCTCTTCTTATCTGCTGTTTTCCAAGACACCCTCATTTTAGTGAGCAACAGAGATTACAATCACATATAATTTCTAGCAGATTTATAAGACTTCACAGAATCTCCTTAAGATATTAGACCACCTCCACACACTCATGCACACACACACACTGTATACAGTATATGTGGATGGTGCTCTCTATTTCTTTTTTATCTCTCCATCATTCATTTAGCATCGTTTTCTCTCCCTTGGCATCAACACCGCTAACCATTTAACTGTATTTCTGCGCCTGACTCAATCTTTCCATTTGGGATTCAAAGAAATTATACTTTGTTGCTTCTCCTCCTTTGTTGTTTGGTTACTCAGAAGGAATCGGCCAAGAACAACACACAGATAGGGATTAAAGTTATGTAACAGTTATGGAATTTATTTGTTTTCTTTCATATAGTGATTATAATCAGCTTCATTTTATACAACATAATTTATACTGGCTAGGATTATATAGATAAGTAAGTAAGATGAGCAATAGTGGCGGCATTAGAATAAAATCAAAGACAAAATGAAAAGTCAAAATGTTTTTCTCAGCAACCACAGACAAAGTGTGTGAACAATGAATATATTTGAGCTGTTACTGTTATACTAAATATATAAGAAGCTTAAGTTTAAAAACCCAACATTACAAATACACAAAGTTTAGGTGTTGTAGACTATATTCTGACTTTATGCTGTCATCTAATTGAAAAAATACGTACTTAAGCCTTAAAGGTGGGGTAGGTAATTTTGGAGAAACCAGCTCGAGTGCGCTAGAATTTGAAAATACACAGCCAGAAAAAATCTGCCACTTCCTTACAGAGCGCGCACATGACCAATGAGGGNTTGTTTCTAAATAAAGAAATCTAATCAAAAAAGAAATCACTTTCATCAACAACTGCTATTATTATTTCAATCATTTATAGTTGCATTGAGAAATGTTTAAGTGCTTAAACATTTCTCAATGCAACTATAAATGATTGAAATAATAATAGCAGTTGTTGATGAAAGTGATTTCTTTTTTGATTAGATTTCTTTATTTAGAAACAAAAAGATGCCCTGCCAGATTGGGGACCTCCAGTAAAACATTTTTAATTATTTTTGATTTAATACTTATATTACAATTTTTCCTTTAAAAAAAATTATAATATAATATAAAAGGATATTTGAAAATACATTTAAAATATCTAAATATAAAATGTTAAAAGCAGATATTAGCAGAGTGTTGTCACAACAGCCTCAGCAGCGGATGTGCTCACAGCACTTGCTAGAGGAGCTGAAGGCCTGCGATGCCAAAGATGGCTACTGCCCTTTGCCACGCCCACTCTGTTGCCACTTTTATGCGTTTTTTTCTGGAGTAAAGCTTAAAGATATGTTTTAAATATATTCTAGACATGCAAACTGGAAGCAATAAGTGTACAATTGTACATTTAAGCTGCCCTGCTGAGTTTAAGTTGCGCACAATGAGCACCAAGACCATCAGTGCTTAATGAGGGGGGTGTGATGCTCTGATATCGCAAAAGGAGGATAAAATTAATAAAAGTATGCTTTCTTTTTGGTCAAAGTGTAAAATACTACTATATTACATTAAAGTAGAACTTATAGAATGTAGATGCGTGGTGGTTTTTGTGGAAAAATCGATAAAACTCGGTTGCCTCTGAATATTCAAATTGAAAGTAACGCGCAATCAAATCATTGTCAAATCATTGAGTTCTAGGGGTTTTAAATAGTAGGCATGGAGGCAGAAAATCTCAAACTAAAATGTCCCCAGCTATAATACAATATTGTTGGATGCTCTGACACTGCTGTAGGACATTTGTGTTGAGATTTTTGGACACTTTTGCACAAATTTCGTTCTTGGCCATTTTGCTGAGGCAGAAAAAGGACGTTGTGGAGTCCCACAGGTCTTCTGCAGGGAGCCTCTCTTCATCTTTCCCCATCATGTCTGGTGAGTTTCACGACGAATTTTCATCTGTATTTCATTTTGGTGCATTTTCTCCTGTTAGGCACAAACGACAAAAGAGGGGAAAAAAGAGACGTTTAGTGACAACATTTAAAAATCTTAAGATACATGTGCATAAAAGGGAGGATTTGTCTATATATTCTCCTTTCAATCACACTTTTAAACAATATATGAGATGGCCAACAGTATAATTAAACGCCTAATAATTAATATTCTTACTTTAATGCCACCTGTGTGCATTAATGGATACGGAGATTTGACTTTTTTCATTGAAACGGGCCACACAGCTTTACTGACTTTTATGGATTTAATATCAACTTCCATATACGCTTACACATCACATGTTAACAATCAGTTCTAATACAATTTATAAATCATTAAATACTCCTAAAGGTAACATTTTAATGTCTCTGTCGGGGGCTGCGTGTGCGTAATGGGACGTTATAAGTAACCGTGTTGGAGTGGGATGTGTCTGCCGTGCAATTTTGGCCCGCTGTTTGCCACATTTAAGACAAAACACGAAGTAGCATTTAGCCGTATGAATATGTATCAGATGATGTTTTCGCAGCCGAGGCTTCGTCTCGTTATCAAATCACCTTTTTCCTAAACGGCTCGCCACTCCTGAGTGCCTTAAATTACGCCTTTGGTCCTGAATTACGTGCACCTATGCGAGGCGTTCTCTCTGCTTTCCTTAATCAAGCTTCGCCTATAGGAAAAATATACGGCAAATTATTCCCAATACGGTATAATTTCACTGTTATATATCCAAAGTGGGGGCTGGTGTTATTTGAATAAAGTTACAGATTGGATAAGAGTTGGGGTTTGAATTATAAACAGCATGAGACTGAAATCGCACTTGTAAATCTTTAGAAAGTCAACAACAATCTGTTTAAACTGAAACTTTTACAAGGTTCCCGGACACCGATAACGTGGAGCTAAACGCGTAGAGATATTTTTGCACAGATTTACCGACACATTTACTTTCTGATACACAACTGTAGCTCAGATCCACTAATTATACGCGTTTACTAAGAAAATGTTGAGCTACCGATCGACTGACAGCCTCGTTTCAGCTCTTTGTTCCAGCTTTTTACGCATTCTCCCCGAGCGCCTTTATCCAACTCTACCAAACGATCGTACGGCTATTCCGACTTGTATATCGATGCAACGTTGACCCACCAACATTATTTCTCTCGTTTAAAGCGTTTATGATCATAAATATATACTTACGGTGGCGTATTTTGTACAGCTTTCCTATTTCCTGGTCTGGGCGGGGTGGCTGGAGCGCGCGGAGCATAAACAGACTGCATTGTAAGGGTCTGCTGAGGGCGTAATAGGAGACGCTTGAGTTGCCGTAAAGAGAGAGCCCTAACCCGGACTACTTAGGGGCGCTGGGGTCGGTACAAATCGGATACATTTACCAGATCCACAGCGCGCAAGGATTGCTAAAAATTCACTTTTACGCACGGAGAAAACTTTGACAATCATGTGATAAAAACTGTTAAAAATACATAAATGTTGTTATATGTTCACAATCACATTAAAACTTTTATTAAGGTGTATACAATATGGCCACATGATCATTTAATGGAGAGATTGCAGTTTATTGGGGGAGAAAAAGACTGTGAAATGGGTTTTTAGAGACGAAAACATGTTGTGGGATTAATGTAGGGGAGGAGAGGGGGAGCAGAGTGGAGACCAAAGAGGCGAGAGGAGTCAGTGTCTGCTATTGTCTGCCTCAATGGTGAGTGTTTAGCAAACATGAGTGACATGCTTTTCTCTTCATGCAGATAAGCAGAGAGTATATCAGGGTGTCCGCGTGAAGACAACCGTCAAAGAGCTGCTGCAGAGACACAGAGCCCACCAGGCCAACAGCAAAAAAGTGAAAACGGTAAACCCCCCCC